GTGGTTTTCCTGCCAGATCGTGAACTCTTGGGTAAAAGAGAATGTTGAATGTCACTGTCTCCCTGTCCCCTGCACACGGCGGACACCTCAGAGCCTGCAAAGACGGCTTGTTTCCTTGAACCAAGGACAGCTTCCAGCTAACACGGCCATGTCTGTTTCTTCCCCTGTGCCTTCGGTGCACGGCATCGACTTCCTGCCTGCCCGTGAGAGAATCACAGAGTTCATATAAAAATAGCACTAGATTCTTCTGAAAGCCAGCCATCCGTCACACTGAGAGATGACTCTGGGTGCAACGTGGAGCTCAGAGAACGGGTTTGATCCTTGGCTCTGGCATTTACCAGCCAGGTGATCTTTGGAGGGCCCAATTGACCTCTCTGAACCTCGGTCCCCTGTTGTTCATAATGTTTACCTGGCAAGGTGACTAGGGATTAGATGAGATCACCCATGTAAAGGAGCCTAATAAAGCCTGAGGCCCAGCACAGACATAACAGAGGACTGCAGGGCCACCTCAGGTCACGGGGCCAGGCTCTTGAGGGACGAACACGCCTGACCTCCCCTGTGCATATTGGATTCCGTCTGCGGCTAAGCCCAGGTTTCTGCTCCGGCTACACACGCTCTCATCTGCACAGACCACATCACCTCAAAGAGCCAAGCTTTGAGGGGCTGGCAGACAACGTGTGGGGGAATCGGTCGAAGCAGGAGTCTGGAGGAGGAGGAGAAGGGGTCTTAGAAGCCAACCTTCCCACAACTCATTCAGGAATCTTAGAAGCCAAGCCAATCGACGGGTCTGAGCAGAGCCCAGGCAGGGGTCCGCGGCCAGGTCTGGAGAGACCGCTGCTTCCCCCACTCACGCACCCAGCCCCGCCAGGAGAGGCCAGCTCCTGACTGACAGGCCAGGTTACGTACGCTTTGCCCCTCATTAACCTCTCGACTGGGATCTTCCTCTTCTGGAAGGTGAAGTCAGGCCACGTGGGGAGCTGGGAAAGTCCACCCGAAGAGTTTGCCCTTCTTTCCCCAATCCTTTCCACTTCTCCACCCAGCCCCCCTTCCCTTCAGCACCTGCTTACGCGCTTCCCTCCCCCTCCCCGCTCCTGGGCCAAAACCTACCAAGAGAAACCCCCCCAGGGACTGGGAGCTGGGCCTGTGATCTGGTGCTGGCAGAGAAGGGCTTCTCCATCCTCAAAACAGCTTTTACAGATGGCTTCTACGGAGCAGTGCTTAGGTCACTCGCCTGTATTCAGCAGGCGTTTGTTACAAGCATGCTTGTGAGAATCCACGGTCAAAACTCGGCCTACTGAAAATGGCACAGCAGCTGTGAGAGACCAGTGTGGCTTCGGAACCCCGGCTGGATTGCTCACAGACTGTAACAGGGCGCTAGGGGGATCTTTCCAAGGGAGTGCTTCAGCCACGGGACGGGTGCCCAAGAAAGTCCCAGGCTCTCAGAAATGTCATTTGTTCCCTATGATTGTGCCAGTTCCTCTCCTTTCTTATGACTTAATCCCTGCTCGTATTTACTCTTCGGGGCTCAGTCACTTTATCCGAGCCACTGGGCAGGCCCAGACAGCCTGTGGTTTTTCTGAAAAGTCAGAGCTCCCGGAGGCCCTGTTTGCATAGACAGACAGACCCGCCCTGTTCACAGCACTTGCCTTTCGCACTGGTTAGACAGCGAGGTCCCCACTGGCCCCCCGCACACTCCACTTTGACCCCAACTCTGGCCTCATCTTGGCTTCTGAAATTCCCCTCACCACGAATGTCTTCCCCATCCTGTTTGCTTGCCCAAATCCTGGACATCCGTCCCTCAACCACGACCCCACTGACCCTTTATTCAGATCACCATTTCAGCACATAAAGAGCAAAGGGACGCCTGGGTGGCTCAGTCGGTTACACGTCCGACTCTTGATTTCGGCTCAGGTCGTGATCTCACAATTTGTGAGTTCGAGCCCCACGTCAGGCTCTGGGCTGACAGCATGGAGTCTGCTTGGGATTCTCTCTCTCTCCCTTTTTCTTTGCCCCTCCCCAGACCTCTCAAAATACATAAACTTTAAAACAACAACAACAAAAAAGAGCATTATGAGGACAAGTCAGCTCCTAGATCTGTATCTAAGAAACCTCAGTGTGCAGGCACGTTGTGTGAATTCAGTTAAGTGCTGGTTGAACTGCGGACACGGTTCAGATTTCCATTCATCACCCAACACGTGTTTGGTGAGCTATTTCATGCAAAACTGTGTACTGTTTTCTACCAAGTCTTCCCTTGTAACTCTGAAATAGCATCGTCTGAGAGCTCAGAACCTGTGGAAGTCCCCAAACACCTACATATCACAAACTCTCCCCACGATGGTCACCTGCCTGTGTCCCCTCCCTCTCCAGAGGAGTGGCAGCCTTCTTCCTTATGCCTGAAGCCGTAAGGCAAGCCTGTCCTTGTATTGGACGCCTCCCTCCCAGCCTCAACCCTTTCTCCCACGGTGTCCCCTGTCCTCTCCAGCCACCTTCCCCAACACATAGCTCGGGTTTTTCCGTGTCCCACATAAATGACGACACCTGCCTCCTGGCCAGTCTCTGTACTTCAGTCAGACTCCTCACCTTCATTGTCCACACAGCCACTAGCAAAGATCTTTCTAAAATAAAAATTGCACTATGTCATTAATCTTCTTTTTAAAAATGCTACCAAGATTCCCTGCCCCCTAGTGAGTGGTTCCCGACCTCTCGGACACAACGCCCCCTTTACGCCTAACATAATCCAACTACACGTAATTCTGAAATGGCAACATAATGCAGTGACCATAATCTAAAAGGAAAAGTAATTGGTTATAAAGTAAGACGTCTTTCAAAACTTTTTTTTTTTTTAGTTTATTTTTTGAGAGAGAGAGAGAAAGCAGGGGAGGGCTGGGGAGGGGCAAAGAGAGAGAGAGAATCCCAAGCAGGCTCCACAGTGTCAGCGCAGAGCCCGATGTGGGGCTCGAATCCACAAACCATGAGATCGTGACTTGAGCCGAAATCAAGAGTCGGGTACTTGAACTGAGCCACTCAGGCACCCCAAAATAAGATGTCTTTCAAACGGTAGGGTCTGGATATCCCGGCACCCTTGCCTCACCTTGCCTTGGTTCAGCTGTACACGCCCACCCACCCCTGCTCAACTTCACACCCCAAAAGCACTTCCTCCCCCCCACCGATTTGTGCTTCAAAATGTCTTTACAACCCAGCCCTCCCTGGCAAAGCTAAGTTCCCTCCTCCATCCCACAAGCGCCCTGTGCTTTGGCCATCATAGTGCCTATTCATTTCTTGCCCCATACACTTAATTGTCACAGCTTTTAAAAAATCTAAAATACTTGGGCAAGTTTGTAAACCTACCAAAAGTAGGGGAAAAAATAGTATAAGAAGCCCCCACGTAACCATTCTCTCATTTCAACAATGATCAACATTTGCCCCCACTGATTTTAAATAGCCTCTTATTTCTTTTTCTGATAGTTTGAACCTAATACCTGACACATCAAATACTTCCTTATGACTCTTGAGAAGGAAATCCTGAAAAATGGATCACGGAAGACAGCCCTATCAAGAAATTCGAAAGGTTTCCAGAGCTCTGTGCCAGAAACCGGAAGCAAAGACTACATGTATTTTTTATTATACCACAGCTGGCATTCTGCTGTAAAGAACTAATTGCTTTTTTTTTTTTTTCATCACCCCTTTACTTTCTCCACTAGTGTGTTCATCGCTCATCAAGGAAAGGACATCCAAGGATATTACCCCGGGCAGCTGGCAAGAGTCCACTTTGATTCTAGTGCGAAGAGACCTCCCAGGTGAGGAGACCTTCCTAAATCTTAGTTTACAAAAATTTCATTAAAGTTAGAATGACAAAATGAAAAAAAAAAGGGGGGGAGGGATGACAATTTGTAGTCATAATAATGATAACAATAATAATTATTATTTAATGGCTAAAAAAAAAGCTTGGAACAAAATACACCAAACTTAACAATGACGTTTTATGACTGGTTAAAATCATTGGTATCTGTATTTTATTTTTCATCTTTCTCTCTGTTTTCCAGATTTTTCTCTAAAGAACATATATTACTTTTGTAATCAACAATAAATATAGAATGTTACTAAATCATCAAAGAAATGTAAGAAACACCAAGAGTTTAGAGTTTCAACTTGTTCAAAAAACTTACCCTCCTGAGAGTCAGTTTCCCTCTCAGTAAAATTGTGAATTTGGTTTCTGTCTTTCCAAATGTGATTTTAACAAAAAGAAAAGGAAAAAACAAAGAACAGTCACTTGGGCGTTATTTAAGTTTGTTTATTTATTTATTTATTTATTTATTTATGTATTTATTTATTTAGAGAGTGCAGGAAGGGCAGAGAGAGAAGGAGAGAGACAGAATCCCAAGCAAGCTTCGCCTACCAGGGCAGAACCCAATATGGGGCTCAATGCAGGACTCGATGAGGGACTCACTTCATATAGTTGCACATTTTTTTTACTCATGATGAGAACTTTTAAAGTCTACCATTTTAGGACCTTTCAAATACACAATACAATATTATTACCTATAATCACCATGCAGTACATTACACTTCTAGAATTTATTTATCTGGAAGTTCGTACATTTTGACCTCCTTCACCCATTTTCCCCATCCCCCCAAGTCTGCCTCTGGCAGCCACCAATCTGTTCTCTTTTTCTATGTGTTTGGTTTTTTTGTATTCCACGTATAAGTGAGATCATACGGTCCTTGTTTTTATCTGATCTTTTTTCACATATATATATATACATGTATGAGAAAAACATATATATATATGTATGTATACAACAACATCTTCTCTATCCATTCATCCATCAATGAACACTTAGATTGTTTCTATATCTTGGCCATTGCAAATGATGCTGCAATGAACATGGAGATACGGATATCTGAGACAGGGATTTCACTTTCTTCGGATGTGTACCCAGAAGGGGAATTCCTGGTAGTCCTAACTTTTGGAGGAACCTCCATACTGTTCACAATGGCTGCACCAGTTTGCAGTCCTACAACAGCGCACGAAGATTCCCGTTTCTCCACCTCCTCGCCAACACTTCTTATCTCTTGCCTTTTTGATACTAGCCATTCTAACAGGTGGGAGGTGACAGCTCACTGTGGTTTCAGCTTGCATTTCCCTGATGGTTAGTGACGGGGAGCATTCTTCATGAGTCTGCTTGGCATCCATACGTCTTCTTCGGGAAAAAAAATGTCTGTTCTGATTCTCTGCCCGTTTTTTAGTCAGACGGGTTTTTTTTTGTTTTTTGGTTTTTTTTTTACTATTGACTTGTAAGAGTTATTTGTGTATTTTGGCCATTAACTCCTTATCAGATATATGATTGGCAAATATTTATCCTATTCCACAGGTTGCCTTTTTATTTTGTTGCTCTCCTTCGCTGTGCAAAAGCTTTTTAGTTTGATGTAGTCCCGTTTATTTGTGTTTTTGTTGCCTTTACTTTTGGTGTCAAATCCAAAAACTCATTGCTAAGCTTGATGTTAAGGAATTTACTCCTTATTGTTTTCTTCTAGGAGTTTTATGGTTTCAGGTCTTACCTTCAAGTCTTTAACTAATTTTGAGTTGCTTTTTGTGTATAAGATAATTCATCTTTTGCATGTTGCATTTTTTCCAACACCACTTACTAAAGAGACTATTCGCTGGGTGGCAATATTATCGTTAAGATCCCATCAGCTGTCACAATTCACGGTCCGTGTTTGCTTTTCCCTGCTGCCAGGTTTGATGGCTCAGGAGTCTGGAGCCTGCGCTTCCCTGCTCTCTCTGCTCCTCCTCCTCGCGATGTTTGTCTCTTTGTCCCCCCCTCAAAATAGTCGAACGTTGAAAAAAAAATTTTTTTAAATAAAATAAAGAGACTATCCTCTCCCCATTGTATATTTTGGGGATTTTTTTTTTTTTTTTTGTCTAAACCAATTGACCACATAGATGTGGGTTTATTTCTGTGCTCACTATACTGTTCTGTTGGCATATGTAACATATGTGTCTTTTTTATGACAATATCATACTGCTTTAATTGCTATAGCTTTATAATATAATTTGAAACCAGGAAGCATGATGTCTCCATGTTGTTTTTCTTTCTCAAGATTGCTTTAGATATTTGGACTCTTTTGTGGGATTTTTAGGATTTTAGAATTCTTTGTTCTAGTCCTGTGAAAGAATGCCTTTGGAATTTTTATTTTATTTATTTATTTACTTTTTTATTTTTTTCAAAAGAGAGAGTAAGAGGCAGAGGGAGAGAGAGAGAGAATCCCAAGCCGGCTCCGTGCCTGTGCAAAGCCCGACACAGGGCTCGATCCCATGAGCCCAGGATCACAACCTGAGCCGAAACCAAGAGTCGGGTTCTCAACTGACTGAGCCATCCACATGCCCCTGCTTTTGGAATTTTTATAGGAATTGCATAAAATGTGTAGATGGATTTGGATAGTATGACATTTTAACAATATTAATTCTTCCAATCCATGGACACAGAATATCTTCCCATTTATTTGTGTTTTCTTCCATTTCTTTCATCAGTGTCTTAAAAGTTTTCAATGTGTAGGTCTTTAACCTCCTTGGTTAAATGTACTCCTATTTATTGTTTTTGATGCAATTGTAAATAGGATTGTTGTCTTAATTTCTCTGTCTGATAGTTTATTGTTAGTGTATAGAAATGCAATACATTTTTCTACATTGATTTCATATCCTGAAACTTCACTGAACTCCTTTATTAGTTCTAACATTTTTTTGGTGGAGTCTTTACAGTTTTCTATATATTGTTCATGCTATCTGCAAATAGAGACAGTTTTACTTCTGACTTTCCTATTTGGATACCTTTTATTTCTTTTCCTTGCCTAATTGCTCTGGTTGGGACTTCCAATATATGTTAAATAAAAGTAGTGAGAGTGGACATCCTTGTCTTACTCCTGATCTTAGAAAAAAGCTTACAGCTTTCTAACTTGGAATATGAGATTAGCTGTGGGCTTTCATATATAGTCTTTATTATGTTGAAATATGTTCCCTTTATACCCACATTATCATTAATGGATGTTGAATTTTGTCACATTCTTTTCCACCATCTACTGAGATGATGGTATGATTATTATCTTTCAATTTTTTAATGTTTTATTCATTTTTGCGAGAGAGGGGGGGATGCAGAGAGAGATGGGGAGACAGGATCCAAAGCAGGCTCTGCACTGACAGCAGACAGCCCGATGTGGGCTCAAATCCATGAGTTGCAAGATCATGACCCAAGTTGAAGTTGGATGCCCAACCGACTGAGCCCTCCAAGGCACCCCTCCTTCAATTTGTTAATGTGGCATATTATGTTGATTGATTTGCAGATGTTGAACCTTCCTTGTAGCCCTGGAGTAAATCCCACTTGGTCATGGTGTACGATCCTTTTAATGTGTTGTTGAATTCAGTTTGCTGATATTTTGATGATTGAAACCTTGTTTTGTATAACAGTTTTCCTGACATAATTCCCACACCATAGAGCTCATCCATTTAAAGTGTTCAATTCAACTGAAACCTTTGTTCAAACTTAATTATTTATTGTGGACTTTCTTCCATCTCAAAATTTGTAATTCCACAGCATCACTTTTAATGGTGGTATGATATTCCTGTACATGTCTGTATCATTTTCTAAATAATCCCTCTTTTTTCACATGAAGATTGTTTCCATTCTTTTATTATCATAAAATTTTTTGGTGAACATTCTTCGAGCTATGTCTTTGGTGACACCCCTAATTTCCGGAGTTGGCTGTGACAAAGTATATGCACATTTTAAAGATATTAATACTCACCCCCAAAGTGTTCTCAAGCAAGCTGCACCAGTGAGTGTAAACTCCCACACGTGTATGAAGATATTTCACCATTAAATTTGGATTCTTCTTTACTTTTACTTTCAAAGGGGACTTATCTGAGTGGAGGGACAGGAAGGTTATAACTGATTTCAGGTTCATCCAACACCAACTTGCACCATAGTGGTTAGTCTGGTCAGAAGACAGTGTTGGTTCCTGGAGGGAACCAAACATCCATAGGGAAGAAAATTACGATGGGAAAGGGCACTGGGGAGATGTGGAGTACAGGACGTAGCCACACTTGAGCAGACCCAGTGGAGGTTTCAATGCAGGTCGTCTTCTGGAACCTGTGGTTGAGGAGGAGGAGGGATGCTACCATGGGGGAACAAGGGACTGGGATCCTCGAGCCACCTGCTGAAAACCCCGCTGTGCTGGCCTTGGTGCCATGGAGTCTTACCAATAGTATCTTTGTAGCCTCCTGGCTGCTTCCAGAGAGTGGATTTCAGCTGATGAGAACATTGGACTGCTTTTCTTCTACTGGGTGCTCAGCAAGCTGTTTCTATTTTCATTTAGACGTCTCATAGACTTGACAATTCCACCCAAGAGAAAAAGCCAGTATCAGCCTCAATTAGACCAACAAACTCTCATTCGATACATTTGTTTTCGAAGACATTCAAGGCCTGCTGAACCATGGTATAAAGAAACCACCTACCAAAGGGACTATTCTCTGCCATTTTACAAGATTGGTAAGTCAGGTCAACTGCTCTTCCTCTCTCAGATCACACTTGCCTCCGATGAGTCTCTTTCGTGGGCTTGTAGCCATCAGGGACGTGTCTGGGACCAATCAAGTTGGGGACAGTGTGTGTGTGTGTGTGTGTGTGTGTGTGTGTGTCGAGGTGCAGGAAGAAGAATTTAGAGGCTGGCCCAAGGGCTGTTTCCGCCTCTCCTTTTTTCCAGCTCGCTATAGAATTCAAGGATAAAAATGCAGAAATGTCAGGGTGGCTCAGCTGGTTAAGCATCTGACTTTGGCTCAGGTCCTGATCACATGGTTCATGAGTTAAGGGCTCTGCGCGAATGGTACAAAGCCTGCTTGGGATTCTGTCTCTCCTTCGCTCTGCCCCTCCCCGACTTGTGCGTGCACGTGCGCTCTCTCTCAAAATAAATAAACAAACTTAATAAAAAAGAAAAGAAAACGCACAAATGTCCTTGCTAGGAAGCAGGCTCAAGTGTGACTGCTTCTTACCGAGCCTCTCGTCACTCAACAAATTCCTTGTGGTGCCTAACTATATTGAGGAAATTTTTTTCTTTTCTCCCATTTTTTTTTTTAAATGTTTTATTTATCTTTGGGAGAAAGGGCATCAGTAAGGGAGGGGCAATGCGGGGGTGGACAGAGGATCTGAAGCAGTCTCCACACTGACAGCAGTGAGCCTGATGTGGGGCTTGAACTCACGTACTGCGAGATCATGACCTGAGCTGAAGTTGGACGTTTAAGTGCCTGAACCACCCAGAGGCCCCCTTGTTCTCCCATTTTAAACGACTTTATGACAATTTGACATTTGGAGGCATGTTTCAAAAATCCTAAGTTCCCTGTACATTGCAACACGTGTGGCTATGAAGGGCCAAGCCCTCCCCCAGATGTGAGCCGGGGGTACACACGTGGATGCCAGTGTAGACATTACTTGTATTCCTGTCCTCACGGATGCCTTGAATTTTAGTGAGGGGAAGGAGTCGCTGCGAGGACAGGCTTTGTAAGTGAGTTAACCCCACTGTTTCTGGAGCTCTTCCCCTGTGGCAGGAACATATTTTGTCCTCGTAACAGCACTCTTAGGTAAGTGCTATTATTTCCCCCATTTTCCAAGAAGGGGGGGATCGAGTTTCTGAGACAGTTAATGACCCAGATCACCAGGCAGCACGTAGGAGGGACAGAGTTCAGACCCAGGCCATTTGAGACATAGCATTCAGGCAGAGGCCAAGCTCTGTGCTTGACCTGTAACCCATATGGCCTCTGTCACAGCTGGGTGTCACCTGCACTACTGTTTATCTAATAGTTTTCTTTAAAGTGAGTCACTTTCTTCTTGCTTGAGAAAGAGTAAGAAACCGAGTAGGAGGATGGTGGAGGGAGCGGCTGGGGGTGAGGAGGGCCCACCCTTCCTCCTGTTCTCCCCTGAGAAGAGTGGCTAGGCCAGGGATGGGGCTCAGGTCCCAGGGGAAGAGCAAACACCAGCAGCCAGGAGGGTGGGAGTCAGGCCCAGGCGATTCATCTCTAGACAGTGGAGCCACGGAGGGGCGGGGGGCGCAGTAGATGAGGCCGACGGGCCGCATGTGGGCAGGAGGCATCTGGCGTAATAGGTTCCCAGGGGTGCGAAGCTGGGTTCTGGGAGGTGGGAGACGGGTGGAGGCTGAGCAGGGCGGGAGATGAGGGGAGAGGGAGGCTGGGGGCTGAGATGAGCTCTAGGGAAGGAGGTGCCAGGAGGGAGTGTGGGACGGTAAAAGCTGGGGTCCCACAGGGGGCCCCGGGACGGTTGTATTAACGGAAGCCAGGGTGGGTATGGTGCAGATCAGGGCTGAGGATGAGGCCTGAGGGGGGACGGGAGCCGCCAGGGGCTGAGTAGCTGGAGAGAAGAGGTGGGCAGGAGAACCAGCTAAGCGGCTTGCCCTTTCGAGAACGTTCGAGTCTGAAGTCAGCTTCATTAGCAGGGGGTAATCCAGGTGGGCCTTGGGTTACCAAAGCGGTAATAGACAAGACCTTCTTTCCAATTCCTCTGCTTCGAGGGAATCCGGTGAGACAGAAAGACACGAAAGGTTTTCTCCCCTGCTTGTTTTAGACGACGATTCTTAATTCTTTCCGCCCTATGGAACCAGGGGAGTGTTTAGCAACGCAGTTGAGTATTTACCAGGTTCTGTGTCCCTAACACCGTGCCGGGTACCATGGGAGGAGGTGAGTGCCAAGCCCAGCCTCTGACCTCAGCCGCGGGGCGTTCCCAATCGAATCAGGAAGGTGAAGCAACAACCAGCCTGCCAGAGAATGACTAAGCAACTAGCTGAGTGGGAGCTGGAAGGTGGGGTCTAGAACATGCTAGGCCCTGATGGATGAGGTTCCAGGCAGAGGGAACAGGGGCCCCCAGGCAGGGACACCGCAGCCGGGACGTGGTGGGGGGATGGTGAGGCTCGTGGAAGGTGGGAGAGCAGGGAGGACTCCAGCCAGGAGGACTCAGGCCCCAGGGCCACTGCGGGCCCGCATGCCCTGACTCTTCAGTGTTGGGCAAGACGCTCAGCTTCTCTGAACCCGACTTCTCAGAAGTCTGTAGTTTAAAAAAAATTTTTTTTAACGTTTTATTTATTTTTGAGACAGGGAGAGACAGAGCATGAACAGGGGAGGGTCAGAGAGAGGGAGACACAGAATCTGAAACAGGCTCCAGGCTCTGAGCTGTCAGCACAGAGCCCGACACGGGGCTCGAACTCACGGACCGCGAGATCATGACCTGAGCCGAAGTCGGCCGCTTAACCAACTGAGCCACCCAGGCGCCCCATCGGAAGTCTGTAGTTTAGCATAGCTGTTAGTATTTAAAATGTCTGTCATGGGCCCAGAACTGTGCTGAATGATACACACACACACACACACACACACACACACACACGTGTATACACTCGTGGTTGCAATGAGTCATAGCCCCCGTGATGTAGCTATTATTATTTACTCCACGTAGCAGAAGAGAAAACCGAGCATTACAGACTTTAAGAAACTCAGTCCATCCAGCAGCTGGTGGGTCGTCGATCCGGGCCCTCCAGAGAGTGAACGGAGGGAGGCTTCACAGGAAATGGGAAGAAGATTCAGGTGGTGCAGCATTTGGAGTGAGGAAGGACACCATCAAGAGAGAACTCACGAGAACTCACGAGGCATTAAAGCTCGTTGCACAGCCGCCCGCTCCGACCGCAGGATTGTTGGTGTCTCTGATGGAAATAATGGTTTTCGGCCAGAGACGTGTCAAGCTGGGATCCGTAGGCAACTGAAAATGAGGTGCTGGAAAGTCCAGCAGGCAGCATTAGACAAGGAACAGGGTTGGACAGCCCCCTACCCAGTGAGGGTTGAAGCCTGACCCATTCAAGAGATAATTCATGTCGAAATAGTCACTGATCCGCTGAGCAAGTGTGTGTGAGTTATCTATCGTGGAGGAACGTCTCACTCCAAAACCTAGTGGTTTATCAGATAAATGATCATGATTTTCACCTTTTAGATGGGCAGTTCTGGCTCAGGGTTTCTCTCTCAAGGAATCAGTCACCTGCAGTGAGCGCGGCATCATCTGAAGGCTTGACTGGGGCCGGAGTCCGCCTCCAAGGTGGCTCATTCACATGGTCGTCACTCACGTGCTGGCTCATGACTGGGGCCTCAGTGCCTTTCCGGGTGGGTCTCCTCACACCGGTGCCAAATGTCCCGAGGGCACGGCAGTTAGCTCCCCCTACCTAGAATGGGCAATCTGGGATGAAGGGGGACACGGTAATGCCTTTTCTGACCCGGGGGCAGAAGCCACACACTGTCACTTCTGAATGGTCCTACTGGGGCAGTGTGCAAGGGTTACATAAGGCACGGGTACCACGGGGTGAGAATTACTGGGGTCCGCTTTGGAAGCTGGCAACCAAGCTCACTCATTGACTGAGCACCCTTTATGAACCAGCCACGGTGCTGTCTACGGGGGGGTACAGTGACCTGGATAGACAGGACATCTGCTTTCATGGAGCTGACATTCTTGGGGGCCTACAGAGCACAACCAAGCACGCTTTGTCAACATTATAGACTGCAGTGGTGCTATCAGGGAAACAGGCGGGGTGATAAGTGCACTCAAGGGAGTTTGCTTTTAATAGCACAGTCAGGGAAAACCTCTATGCAATTTTAGCTGAGCCCTGCAACACAGGAATGAGTCACGTTGGAGAGCGTTTCAGGAGAAAGGGAACAAACAGTAAGTCCAAAAGCTTGAAAGCAGGAAAGGCCTAGGCTTGTTTGAGGAACAGAAAGGAACCCAGTGTAGCGGGTGTGTGGTCAGGGAGGGCGCCTGGATTCGAATCTCAAAACAAAGACCTGGAAGGGTTCGAGCGGAGGAGTGACCGATCATTTGTATTTTTAAAAGATCAATTCTAGCTGCTGCTAAGGCCCTGTTTGGAGAGGGACAAGAGGTAGGGCATGCCGACCAGCGAGGAAGCTATTTGCCAGCTTAGAACGGAGACGATGGGGCTTGGACCAGCAGGGAAAATGAAAAAGGATGAATGGATTCCAGAGATATTTTGGAGGTGACATCAGTTGGACTCAGTGACTTGCTGTGAGAGCGTTTTCATTCATTCATCTGTGTTCTTCCAGTAAATGATTTGAGAGCCTATTTGTATGCCAAGCAGTGTGCAAGGTTTTGGCGATACAGTGTCAAACAAAAATAGACACAACGTTTCTACATGCAGGAAGCTTCAACCGGAACCGGGATAGAAATAAGCATACCATTTCACCTGGCATAAATGCGATAGAGCAGAATTTATGTGGTGCTATAGGAGCGCTTAATGGGTTTCCCTGAGGAAATGATGAGCGAAAAGTTCACTAAGCGAGGAGTAGGGGAAGAGCTTCACAGTGAGCACAGAGTGTGCAAAGGCCCTGTGGTAGGAACACAACATGTTTGAGAAACTTAAAAAAAATGTGCTAAAGCACAGAGATCAGGAAGGGTGGAGCAGGATGTAACTAGAGATTTAAAGACAGGAACAAGGAGACGGTATACAGGCCATTTTCAGCTCTGGCACCTGTAGCCCGAGATAAATGGCAAATCACTAAAAAGTTTTAAGGAGGGTGGAGACGCCATGATTAAAAGTGCATTGTGAAAATGAGAAGGAAAGGGAGGCTGGGTGGGGAGTCGGGTGAGGCAGGGACTGAATATGCTGAGTCAGGAGCATCCCTGCCCGCTGCCCCCAGCAGTGGTTAGGCTAAAGGTTCTCACCCTCAGTGACATCACTTTTCACAAGCCAGATGCCCAGGAGATACCCATACCAATTAAATCAGGATCTCCTGGTGCAGGGGTGGGGTGGGGCGGGGTGGGGTGGTCCCAGGCATCAGTAATTTAAAAACCTCCCCAGATTGGTCCCCCATGTGGCCAAGTTTGGGAACCAGTGGTTTAGGCAGGTGATGACAGCTGGTAACAGTAAAGAGAATTGGATGTATTTGCGAGGTGCTTAGGGGGCGATTATTTTGTGAACAACCATCAGGTAGGCGACAGGGGGGTCTTCAAGAGACCTAACAGAGAGAGGTCACAAATCTGAGCACTGAGAGAGACCACAGCAGGCACTGAATCGACGGTTTGTTTAAATCAAGAAACTGTACTCCTTGAAGGAGTCTTTGGGGGAAGGGCTTCTCAGAGAATAAGATCGATATAAAGTGGTTTACGAAGACGTGGGTTTTTTGTTTTTGTTTTTGTTTTTGTTTCTAATCTTAACCATTTGACCCGTCTTGGTGATCAGATTTTAAGGGCCGGACATATGCCTAGATTAGCACTGACTCGCATTTCACTGTCGGGTTCTCATTTCCTCTTTGGGCATTGTTGAAAAACGGATTAAATATAGATTGTGATAGATCACCTCTCAAGAAGTTCTTCCTCAGTAACAAATTCATTCTCAGCACATTCTCGGGGGTGCGTTAATTTTTTTAGGAAACATTGATTAAGCACGGACTCTGTGCAAGACACAGTGTAAGATGGACAGACTCTATCCTCAGAGAACCTAGAGCCTGTGAATATGAGATGGCCCCTCACACAAAATTTGCCCATGTATTACCCTGGCACCAAATAATTAAAAGAACTCATCCTCTGAAAATAAAATATCTGCTCTTCGTAGCGGTGTGACCCTTAGACTCTCTGACCTTCCGATTTCTCGTCTGTAAAAAGGATAATAATAGTATCTACCTAACAGAACAGAGATAACCATATAAGGAACTTAGCATTGTGCTTGTACGTAACATTAATAGGCCTTCAAAAAGTATTAGCTATTATATTATCGATCAAAGAATAAACACGTGCCATAATAAATGTTTGTAAACAGACAAACAAACAAAAAACCCTAATGCAACGGGATTGTGTTTTATTCTGGGATCAAGTTCTAAAACCAGTGCCTCAAGTAGTTATCATGTATAATCGAAGTTATCCTTGGCAATCTCTTAAACTGTTCCAAGTGATACTGTCAAATGATACTAAATTATTACAGTAGTTGGAATAAATGGGATTCAGGAAGTTGGTTAAATTGTCTCCGTAGTTCTCACTTAACTCGTTTTATTTTTCGATGATGACTTTGGAAGAAGTCACCCCCACAAATCCACATGAACAAGAGTTTCACTTTATCAAATGGTAAGGAAGTCCCCCAAATCATTTCACATGTCCTTTCCACAGTAGTCCCACCCCCAAATCTGCATAGCGTACTTCGGGCTTGATAGCATCCACTGTCTGTGGGCATGTTGACTCGGTGAAGCCCCAAAAGTTTGTTGCATGTTCTGGGAACGTTTATTGCCCAGTTGATCCAGTCGAATGAGTGCGTCATTCAGCTCCATGGCTGGTGAGGGATTCTTCACGCTCCTAAACCGCTTAAACACAGTGTAACCCTCGAGAAGGTCAGAGTTGCTATTTTAACCCCATAAGCCTTGGGAAGTTGAATGGTTACTTAGTTCAGACAGGTACACACTATTCAATTAGATTTAAAGAATCCTCCAGGGATGGCATTTCGAGTCATACTCCTGGGTTCAATGAAATATTATCCATTCTTAATACCAAGAAATGTTTGTGTCTTTCAATGCTGTCGAAGTAAGTGTGGAAGGTGTAATGGAGCAGTGAAGAGGTCAGGGACTTGGGGGCCAGGTATTCCTGGGTCAAGTCCCCTCACTACCCTATAAACTTGGGCACGTTCATGAATCTCTTTGAGATGGTGACCCCATCAGTGGGCATCTGAGGATTACCGTGGATATTAAGGTAAGTAACACAGTGCACGGCACTACACGTAATACAGCTGCCTTACGATGCTATCGCCATAACGCTGTGCTCTTTGGTTCACCCAGTGTGGATGCGATGGCTGATGCATTTATCCCCAAGCCCTCCGCGAACCCTCAGCTCCAGACAAGCAGAACTGTTAGTGATTGTAGATAAGAGGGTATAAAGTACAGGAACTCCAGTGGGGGTAAATTGAGGGATGGTACCAACTGAAGTTTGATACAAACACACAGAGTGGCCCGTTTCCAGTGTGGGGTTTATAGGGGTTGGGGGGTCTACAGTTAGGATGTCAAAATGCAAACGTATATGACTGATTTAATTTTATTTACATGTGGGCATAACTCAGTGAGGTGCCTCTTGGTCACAGAATGAAACGCAGAAATAACCTTTTGACTAAGTCCTGTTCCCCCACATCTTTCACATATATCCCTTTCTCTTCAATCCCCCAAATTATTTTATTGCATACAATTGTCGTGGACACTATTTGGGGGCACTTGGTTGGCTCAGTTGGTTGAGCGTCCGACTTCGGCTCAGCTCACGATCTCACAGTTCGTGAGTTCGAGCCCCGCGTCAGGCTCTGTGCTGACAGCTCGGAGCCTGGAGCCTGTTTCGGATTCTGTGTCCCCCTCTCTCTCTGCCCCTCCCCCCCACCTCTTTCTTCCTCTCAAAAATGAATAAACATTAAAAAAATTAAACAAAATTGTTGTTGACACTATTTTAAAATTTAGGAGTGAACGGTCTTAAAATAAATCATTGACTTGTTTTAAATTCCAGATTGGAACAAGAAATTAGCCACAGTCTCATCGAACCCTAGACCACTCGATTCTCTGCCAGAGCTCTACTGTTGTCGAGAGAGGCAGTTGTGAACGAAAACCGCTTAAATTGTAAATAACCATGGCATTCAAACAAAACAACATTTGGAGTTCTTAGGTGACTCTTTTAGATTAAAATAATAACAGGACTACCGTTGATTGAAGTGTGTATCTGGGTGGCTACAATCCTGAAATATTTACATGCGGCAAAGTCTTTTCAGATTGAGGCGATCAACCTAAGGGCAGGGGATCAAGAGTCAAGTTTAAGGCGCACCTGGGTGGCTCAGTCGGTTGAGCATCTGACTTTGGCTCAG